AAGGAAGGAAGGAAGGAAGGAAGGAAGGAAGGAAGGAAGGAAGGAAGAAGGAAGGAAAAATAAATAATTCCAATGATATATTCTACTATATTTATCAATCGCTGCCTTGTTCTGTAGTCATCAAAGAGGCTTCCTCCAGCAGCAGATAGGAACAGATGCATAGGAGCCAGCCGTTCTGCTTGGTGTTTTGTGGAACTCCTAACAGTGGGAGCAGGAATGTCCCTGACTTTTTTGCCTGCTCTTGGGACTCTTTCCATCCTGTTGGGTTGCCTTGTCCAGCCTTAGTGTAAAGACTTTGCCTTGTCTTGTTGTGTTTTGTTTTGTTGTGTTTGATTGTTATCTCTTGGAGGCCTGTTCTTTTTTGGAAGGAGATATATAGGGGGAGTTGGTTTAGGGGAGAGGGAAGGTGAGGAGGAGTTGGGAGGGTGGAGATAGCGGAAACTGTGGTTGGGAGAAGAACCTATTTTCAATTTAAAAAGCAAATATAGTCCCTTAGCTGCGATTATTGTTATTATTGATATTATTGATCGTGATGGAAAGATAGGTCTGTGATTAAGAGCACTTCCAGCTCCTCAAGAGGATGGCAGCTTGATCCCTAGTACCCACATAAGGCTGCTTACAGCCACCATTAACTCTAGCTCCAGGAGATCTGTAGCCCTCTTCTGGCCACCAAAGGTACCACATCCACACACACACACACACACACACACACACACACACACACGCACACAAATAAATAAAAATAAGGATTATGTGCGTGTGCATGTGTGTGTATATGTGAATGCAGTTGCCAGCCAGTGCCCAAGGAGGCCAAAACATCGGTACTGGAATCTAAACTTGTATCTTCCAGAAGAGCAGCAATGACTCTGAACCACCGAGCCATCTCTCTAGCTCCCATTAGTATTTTAACCTCCAACATGGCTGCTACAATACCTCAGAGAAAACAGCCTAAACAAAAATGACAAAGGAAGATTGCCCAGCGAACAGGAGATAGACGGTAAAGCTTTCTGCTTCATTTGTTGAGAATGGGTGAAAGTTTTCCAAGATGAAAATTTGAAAAAGCATCCTGCTCCCAAATTCAGTGTGTGACAAGGACAGAGGCATGAGGGCAGCGAGCATCGCTGGAAAAGGTCTACTTTCTCAACACAAAATGTTTGAAGTCCCGGCTCAGATCCTATAGTAACAAACCAATAGTGTGGTGGCATACTGTGTAGCAAGAGTCAGAACTGCTTCCTGATGCTGATTTTCTTGAGCAGTGCTTGCAGAAAGCTGCAAATATATGCCCTGAAGAAATGATAACTCTAAAATCTGTTTGTCTCCCTAGAATACAGCCAGGCAAGTTAAAGGAATTTGAAAATCTATCCAAGGAAGTCGGAAGAATAGAAGTGTTGCTTTAAATTTAATCATGGGCAATGGATGACATCACTGATGCTGCAAGATTGACTTCTGGAGGTTTGAATAAGAATGGCCCCCATAGGCTCCTGTATTTGTATGTTTAGTCACCAGGGAGTGGAACTGTCTGAAAGGACTACAAGGATTAGGAGGTGCGGCCTTGTTGGAGGAAGTGTGGCACTGGGTGGAATCTGAGGTTTCAAAGGCCTACACCAGTCCCAGTCTCTTTCTCTCTGCCTATGAATCAGGACGTGGAACTCTCAGCAGCTTCTCTAGCAGAATGTCCGTCTGTGTGCCGCTATGATCCCTACCATGAAAATAATAGA